TAACCTGCTCTTAAACTTCCAGGGACAGAGATTCCATAACCTCTGTGTAATCGGTTCTAGTGCTTAACCATCCTCCAAGTCAAAAGCTCTTTCCATTATCCAGTCTTAATCTCCCCTGCTGCAGTTTAAGCCTGTTGCTTCTTGCCCTGTTTCCTGTGGATTTTAAAGCACAATTGATTGCCATCCTCTTTTAACAGCCTTCTTGTGTAGTTATCAGATTCCTCCCTCAGCTTTCTCTTCTCTAAACGAAATAATCCCTGTTCTTCTAACCTTTTTTCATAGGTCATATTTTCTAGACCTCTTTTCATGTGTGTTGGTCTCCTCTGAGTCTGTCCAATTTGTCTAATTTTTTGAGGCATCAACAGAAGTAACAATTGTATCAATATCAAAGGATACAAATACAAACTGTGTCAATGTGAGTGTTACATCTAGTGATTTATGTGGCAATACATATGTAGCAAAAATGCTCTCATTTTAACCTCACTTCATTTGGGTCAGTGGTAGGGCGATTTAGCTAACTTGCAAGATGGGAACCTGCAGACCTAACAGCTGCTGTGTGCTCTGGAGCAGCAGCAGGGTCCCTCCTCCCCACTCAAAGTGCCTAAAATGTCCACATGCTTAGTGTGGTGAGCAAAAATGGATACTTTACTCCAGATCAGGTTTCAGCAGGGCTCAAGTGTGGACAAATGACTTCCTGTAAGTTGGCTTATAATGCTTTTGTTAATAGCCTTTTCGCAACAGTATTTTATTCAATTTGCAAGGCACTATAACCTCAACAGCCTTCCCTGCAGATCGGCAGCCTGGTCGTTTCCCATTTTTCATTTAGACATTTGATAGTTGCTTCTGAAGAGTAGTGTTTTGCCTGTGTCCTTGTTGGATTTCTTCCTATTTTATTTCCAAGGTGCTCTTGAATCCTAATCCTGTCCTCCAAGTTGCCACTTAACCCACTTATTTGGTGTCATCCACAGATTTCATGAGTGTATACTCAAGTCCATTAACAAGTATATTGACCAGTACTGGACCCAGCACAGCCCTCTTGAGGAAACCCACTTAATTACCTCCTCCCATTCTGACTTCAAACCATTGATTACTATTCTTCAGCTATTGTTATTCGGACAGTTACTTATCCACCTTTGATAGTAGTCTCATCTGGACCATGCTATCTGAGTGTATTTATGAGAACATCACCGAAAACGGTGTGAAAGAGAAGTGTCATCTGTCTCACCCATTTCTATAATTGCCCCAGCTCTTTTCTGTCCCCCTTCCATAAGGATGGTTACCCTGCCATAGAAGGAATTAGGTTGATCAGGCACTATACCTATATGCAAGGTAAGCCTCCTAACTGCATATGTTTGTATTCTTCCTGCCAGTCTGTCCTTCTCCCTCTTTGAACTCTTTTTAATGCTTCCCTCTCCCAGATTCCTTTTCTTGCTAAGTTAGTGGGAACACCTTGGGTTTACATTTGATTGCACTAATGACCTTTTTTCTGGGGATGTGTCTTTTGCTGGAAGTTGCAAAGAACTAAATGAAACTGGCAGAGTGGGATTGATGGAATACAATGTAGTCCACTTAATTATGATAGACTCTCCAAGAACCAGTTTAGCCAGAGGGGAATGGTAATGGCAGCTGCTCAATCAGGAGAGAGTGCTCCATAAAGTCAGCATTTAGCTGGTGCCAAGTGACTAAGTGGTGCTTAGCCAGGTGTCAGGTATGAAATTCCAAAAGTGTCTTAAAAGCAGATGTGGCCTACAGATCCCAGAGATTCAATTAAAAACTGCCCTGTCCACATTGTCTCAAGCTGTGCATACACAGTTGAATAAAAAGATTCCTGGAAGCTTGCTTCTCAGTCAAGGCAGGATAAAGGAACAATCCTTAAAGGAAGAAAACTATGTTTAAAAGAAATAAAACCATATCCAGAGGTGAAATGCATAGAAGAATTCTATTTTTTTAATAGTATAGTGTTAATTCCTCCAGTCTTGTCTTAAATGGTTTTAATTGGATGAGGGACCATCCACTGTGGTGTCCCAATTAAGATGATTTGAGTGCGTTTATATGAAAGTCAATACATCTGGGCTACTTTAGAGTTTAGTGATGTGCTGTATAGTTAGTTATTGCAGCATTAAGGGGAAAAAAAGGAAGTAGGACAGTGAAGAGCACTTCATAAAAGGTAAATAATTTCAGTACATAATGCCATGACAGCATCTAAAGCAAATTGCATAGCACTAGTAGTATTTAAAACTTGGCTGCAGTGCAGTTATTTGGTGCTCCATTTAAAAGCAGCCTATTGTTCTGTGTTTTATCTTTCTATCCTGCAGACTGAGGACTTGATCAAAGCCCTTCAGGATCTGGAAAATGCAGCATCAGGAGATGCAACAGTACGGCAGAAAATTGCTTCGTTGCCACAGGAAGTTCAAGATGTGTCGCTACTGGAGAAGATTACAGGTAAGATAGAGTGCAGTAACCATCAAGTACTGGCTGGATACATTTCGTATGCTTTTGGGGTGTTAGTCTTAAATTTCCTGACAGTTTACAGGTAAAATCTTCTGGCATGTAATTGAAAGGAAAGGTGCAAGTCTCCGATCCAGTCCCTTGGCCCAAAGCAAGCTATGTATTTCCAAGAGCCTTTAATTGCTGTCTCTCAAATAGCTTTTAGCAGACTCATTTTGCAATACTGTAAAGAAACAAGAGCCAGAACTTTCATACTTGGTTCCCTAAAGTTGAGCATCTTAATTATGCATATTTGGGTATTTTAATAAGTGGCCTGATTTTTTTCAGAGGTACTGAGCACCCACAGCTCCCTTTGCAACAGGAACAGAAGCTCAGCACTTCTGGAAACCTGATCATTTTATATAGGTGCTTGACTTTATGCAGCCATGTTTGAAAATGTTGTCATAAGAAACTGGGAGGACATGCAGACAGAACTGATTTGACTCTTGTTCTTGTAAGTATTTCTAATTTTAATTTAGACTTCTTTGCGAAGTATAGCTTATCGGCTCTTGAGAATGTGGAGTCCCTGGCTGCACTATACGTGCAGGCACTGACTGCGCAGTAAATTTACTACCTTCATATGGAGATAGATTTATTGTGCAGTAAAGTCAAAAAGCATTAATTGCACATGTAGATGTGCCCACTCTGTCCAGCTGTGGGAAGGACAGGTGTGCATTTATAGGCAAGCTTGCATTCAGCATATTGATGAATATTCATAGATCAAAAATGCATGAAGCAGTGCACGTCTTGCATAAATGCCAGTACCCCATGATGTAGCAAACTAAATTCTGTAGATGCAAGTTAATATTGTGACGTAATTTAACAGATCATACAGGCTCTTCTGTTGCCAGATTTGCAAAAGCAAAAAATATGAACTCTTCTCTGTTAAAATGTTCCTTCATCCTCAGGTTCTGTAGAGTCCTAGCCATTTGCAGGTACCTCTGAAATGTTTCTTGATTAGGACCCTATTTCTTTACAAAACCTGGTAAACACTTATGAATGAGTGATGATTGTGCATGCAGTTGGTGAATCAGCCCCTTTCTGTCACTGAATAAAAGGGTTTTAACGGAGTCATGTAAACTATTTACCACCTTTGCACCTAGACAAAGAGGCAGCAGAACGTCTTTCGAAGACTGTGGATGAAGCATGTTTGTTACTAGCAGAATACAATGGGAGACTGGCGGCAGAGCTGGAAGATCGGCGCCAGCTGGCACGCATGCTGATTGAATACACGCAGAACCAGAAGGATGTACTGACAGAGAAAGAGAAAAAGCTAGAAGTGAGTACTGCTCTGAGCAATGCTAGACACTTTACCTTGTCACCGAACACGTGCTTGACTTCAAGCTAAGAGGTTTTTAAGTGAGCATTTGGTTCTAGCACGTATATTAGTGAGTTATCAACGGTTTTGTTTTCTATGGGGAAGAAAACATCTGTTAATTATTTTTGTTAAGGTGTGAACCACTCAACTCAGCTGACCAGTCCATCACACATTGCCTTGAGAAACATGACAGCAAATGGAAAAAGGAGGCCTAGAATCTGCATTTGTTTGAGTGCTTTTATTTGACAGATGTTTCTGGTTTGGGGTCCAGACTCATGTTGGTCTTTTTGTTTCTGGGTAAAATCCCTTACCCCACAAAAGTCCAAGTGGCTATGCACTTCTCTCTGCGAGTAAATGCTTTTTTTTTAGTATGTTGTCTATTGTTGGGTGCCCTTCATTTGACTTCTAGGTCTTAATTGTTGAGAACTTGTCAGATGTGTCTTAGTGCCTGACAACCTACCCAGCTTAGGTTAAAAAAAATGTAGCATTTTTAATTGCTTTACCCATGAATGAAAATTTGTGGTGGAAATGACAGCTCAGATTTCATGCCAAAGCCAGTTTGAACTTGGAGGGCAAGAAACTGCTGTAAAAGTGAGACTGTTCTGACTGGAAGTCAGCAGTGACCAGAGCCCTAGAGCAAATACATGGGCAACAGCAGACAGTCATTTATCTGAAATGTTCTTTTGTGGAGAAAATGTTTTCAGTACAATTCCCTGGGACTAATACGGGAGTTTAATTAACGATTCTGGTTGTATGTCACTCTGCCATCTGTTGAACTGCCCCTCGGCGACACATTAAGGACTTCCTCTACACTGTTGGCTCCTGCTGATTACGAACAGCTGCTGTTGGGTGGGACTTGAGTTGCAGTAGAGGACAAAGTCTTCGAGAAGGAGACCCAAATGTAGAACAGTTCAGTGCTTTGCCCTCATCACAGCTTGTCTTCCAGAGTCATGGGTGGTACCATTTAAGTTGAACTGCATTTTGACCACAGATCCTTGTTCCATGTCTGTACGTGCTAACTTGTGAAAGTCTTTGGATGAGCAGTATATGCAATCACAAGTTAAGATCAGCTAGAAGAATTAGAATTGCTGCATTCAAAACTACCAGCTGCTGGATAGGTGCATCATTTGCTAGCTCATTAGCTTCAGGAGATTAAAGCCTGAGAGTTGAGTTTATAGTGGCTTTCTTGTGACTTTTTTTTAATTATAAAAACAGTTTCACATAGGAGTATGCAAGGTGCTATAAAAATCCTCTTTGGTATGTGATGACTTTGTCATGAAGTAAGGCTCGTGGAAACCATGTGTCATAGTCTTGTTTTGTCATCTTCAATGCTACAGTTAACTCTAGGGAGTAGCTTGGTGTACGTTGCTGCCTTTTTGTGTTACTTAAATAAAAAGCCAAGGAGCTTCCTAATGGGCTCCACAGCCTGTGTTTCAAAACCTCCATTTGAACAAGGCTGAAGCTTATTTGGAAACTTAGGCAGTTGCAACTTCAGATTAAAGCGTATGATAAACAGCCAATGTCCCTTATAATTTAGGCATATCTTTTTTTTAAGGACACTTCTGGCAAGGCACCTTATTTGAAACTTAAAACTGGTATAGACAAGAGTATTGACAGCTAAGGCCTCAATCCTGTGAGCACTGAAGCAGTTGTGCAGCTTTTATTCACAGCACTAACCTTCTTGACTTCAGTGGAACTAACTGTGTTTAATTTCATACATATGCCCAAGTCTCTAAAGCATCAGAGGCAAAACTTTATGAATTTTCTTAATGGCTTGAATTCTTTGTCACTTCAAAGCAAAGTGTTGATGTTGAAAAAGCGCTGGGAAATCTTGCAAGGTAAATATTTATAAATATTAAAATAAAGTCAGGCACCTCTCAAGATTTCACTTTTAAGTGCCTAACTGATATAGGAGCATGAGTTGCACCTGTTTCAAGCTGAAATTCCTAATGAAAGAATTAGGGATTTCAGCTTTCCTGACTTGAAGTTCAGTATGTTGAAAGATGGTATTATTTGTATAAATATAGCATGGACTGTTTGTCAATTGTGCATTTGGGTTTGATGTTCTCACAATAAGGGGGTAGATGAGGCCTTGGATTTAACTTTGTAGCAGTAACAGACATCTTAAGTGGGGAATCTCATATCAGAAAATCAGTAAACGTTAACAGCAATTTAAAAAAAAAAAAACAATTAAAGAAGCAAGTGCAAACCACCCACTCCAGCTATTTGAAATTATAAACATGAAAAATAAAGCACTAGCAACATGATTTGCATTCAGCCTGTGCTGATATTTCTTATTGATATGACATGCTTTATTGTTACCGCTTTCCAAAACTCTGGAATTGCTGACTGTAAATGTTCCATCATCAAATATAAATCCCATTGCTTTCAGATGAGATGTATTAAAAAAACAGTCTATGTTTTAGGGTAATCTGTCTACTTCAGTTGCTTCACTGGTTTAGTCAAGGCTGATGGTACAGGAAAAATCAGGCTCCTTGTTGGCAATATGAATGAGGCCTTTATTTTGTTGACAAGTGTAATACCGGGTCAAAATGTGTATCTCTTTGCATCTTCGTGGTACTTGATTTGCTCAAGAGGGGAAATTTTTCACTGAGATAGTAATGAAAATAGTTAATCTACAGCTCTGGGAAAGCGGCTTTTGCTGTCTAAACAGTAGGGTTCTTATTTAATTTAAAGAGCCCAATAATACAATCACTCATCAGCTATGGCAAATTCTGCAAACAGACATTATTTACATGGATTGAGAGTATTTACTTATATTTGGCTGTAACTCAGGAGATTTTGAAATAACATAACTGGAGGGCAACTGTTGCCGGTTGTATAAAAGTCATTCATCAAGGCATGATACTTTGTAGAACGTGAGCTTGGACAATAGGCTACAGTTCAGATGCAAGGTGTGTTAAAGATTTACCTGGGCAAGAATCCAAACATTCCTGTAGTACTAAGCAATTCTCAAAGTTAGGGATAAAGAATATAGGAACTATGGTCTGGGGCACTATTGTCTTTTTAAAAAAATAACAGGAAACTATGTAAGAGTCGGGTGTGAAAAGAGGAGCAGTTAACGCTGTGCTTAAAGTGGATCTATAAACAGTGGAATATGGAGTAGAGCAAGAAAGTGGTGTTGCCTTTTGTATGGTATTGGTGAAACTCCTCGTGGAAGACTATGTTCTGTGTCAGTGTAGCCACTTCAAAAGCAGTATGGAAGAGTTGGAAGCAGTTAAACTACAAAAGAAATTAAAGGTCTGAAATAGCTGCCTGCCTTGAGGCTGCCTGGAGACTATAGCAGTGATTAGGACTGGAATGCCAAGATGAACCACTGAAGCGGACTACAGGCTCTCCCCCAACCTCAGTACATGTTGGGCAGAGTAATGAGGTTCTAGGCTGGGCCTTGCAAACAGTTTTCTAACAGCTGAAGACCATAGGACTGAGTAAGATGAGAAAAGAAAATGACAGCAACTTCATCAGTAGGTATTTTCTATTGAGCCACTGTTGGGTGGGGATGTGGATGAGGGTAAGCGTAGGAGCAATGTTAGTGAATTAATATTGCAGTGAAGCAAGGACGCACTGTGCCCTGGAGAACCGGGGCTCACTAACTGTTTATGTAGTACCAAGGCACAACAGCATCTTATTGGCACTTCTCAGTGTTTATGAAGCCTAAGGCTAGGAACAAACATTTTATTTGTCCCTGGACAAATTGTACTTGTGTTTTTCTTGGAATAGAAATATCTCAGGATTGGCATGTACACACCATGACTGTCTGATCAGGATTTAGATTGGCTATCCCAAGATTGCATTATTAATTATTATTCTGCGAGGTTGCAGGATAAACTGTCCGCACTCCTTATCCCATGAACCTTTTTAAGATTTATCCCAGGACAAGGGACAAGAATGTCTGAACAGTTGTGCTTTGTCCCAGGATAAAATGGTTCATCATGGGACAAATGCAATGTCTCTTGATGGCTTAAGTATTACAGGTGAAATAGCAACATCGTGTAAGCCACTTAACGTGCTAGCAAGCAAGGCAGGCACGCATTTGCCAAATCCCATTGTTTTCAATACTAAGGGTGCCACTTAAGCCCATTTTAATCCTGAGTGCTGTTTTATGGAGGAAAAGTCTGTTCAATTTCTCAACTCTCATGACTGTTGGATACACAGACCTTGATGCTCAACCCCTGCATAGCTGGTGGCTCCTCATTAAGCCTGGACTTGGAAAAATTGGCAGAGACTAGTCTATTTTAGGCCACTGAGGGCAGTTGAGAAGGGCTAGAAGGATTTACCTCCCATTCCATCTTATTGCCACACAAGCCCTCTATATACAGCTTAAACTGTACTTCAAAAAAGCACAACTCTAGAAATTATAGAGTGCTTATTGCCATATAATCATGTTGCCATATTTTAGGTGAGGTGCAGTGCAGTCTTGCCCTTCTCCTTAGCATAAACAATGTTTGACTGAAGCTGAATGACTGGAAATCTGCTTGTGACCTAAGTTATTTGAACTGGAATAGATGCACTTAGCATGGAGGAATTGCATCCAGAAGATAATGTAAAATGTATTATTACTACCATTGGTTGCACCGACTGACCATCTGAGCAGATGATGGTACTGCTTGAACTTCAGCCTGGTGTGGCCAGCAGACTGATACCTCTGCATGGAGCAGGGAAGTACTCAGGGTGCAGGAATAATGTGTTCGGGGCTGTAAGTGTGTTACATGGAGTAACTTCTTAACCTGATCCTCCACTGGGGAGCTGAGCAAGAAGAGCTACCATTGTACGGCCTGAAATGCAACCAAGAGCAAAGACGTTGTGTCCAGTAAATTGTAGTGAAAACTGAGGACAGGAAGTGGGGCTTCTTATTTGAAGAATGAGAGGCAGAAAATCCCAGTTTGCCAACAAAAATGGCTCATTGGAAGTTCTGAACACCGGGCTGTTTCTTTAAGAGA